CTGAGGCTGTTTCTCAAAAGCAGTGAGGTGGGGTTTAGAGTCGAAAAGACTGTCACTTAATAACTTTGGGTAAGTCCCTAACTTTGGGTCCTTCACCTCCCATTAAGTAAGAAGCAAAAGCGTCCTGTCCCCTGCTGGCGGCAGGAGATACCCACCGAACAGCACCTAGATCCAGATGCTGTTGGCTTCTGCGCCTGTCAAGAGGGAGACTGGCTTCGGCCCACGCCCTCTTACGAGGCTGCTGGGAGAAAGCGGAACACTCTGTGAGGGTGCTGCGCAAACTAACATACATGTTAAATGTGCCTCTCTTTCGAATTTCATCACTTGAGAAAGTTCAAACAATGTCCCTTGCAAGGATATTAAAAAAAAAAAAAAGAACAGTTTTTAAAAAAATCTTCTAGAACAATTCATGTTAGCCTATGCTGTCTCTTCCAGACTCTGAACCTGGATCTGGAAGGAGCTTTATGGGGCACATCCATCAGTTTCCAATCCCATTACGCAAACAAAAAACCTACAGGCCAGCGAAGCTAAGCAATGTCTTAACCTTCTAATTCCTAGGTGGGAAAATTATCTTTCCTGCGTGTATCTCTCTGCAAAGTCCCTTGGTCGCCTCCCCTTGGCTCCTGATGCCTGCAGAACTGTGAGGAAGAAAGCAGCTCCTGAGGGGGTTCCCAATCCAGAGCCTGATGGCTGGGAGGCATTTACACAGACCTCCTGGGCTAGCTCAAGTCCCTCTTTTCCGCAGGGCCTTCTCGGCCTCTCCCTGCTCTGAATACAGGGACACTCACCTGCATTTGGCAAGCCCTGCCCTGTGCTGCCATTTAATTTGTCATGGGGATGTGGTACTCTCTGCTATCTCTGTCAGACTGTTTCTCTAAAAGCTAAGTCTGTTAACTGATTTAACATGTGTGTTCCTCACGGTTCCACAGAGTAGGATCTCAAGCCACCTGTGGTTCTTTTACTCTCCCAAGTTCTGCACTAGAATATTCCATGACTGAAATTCTGAGCATAGAGCAGTCACCAAGCCTTCTTTGTAAGAGAGTTCAAATGTAGCTCCTCAGCCATAGGTCCAAGAAGGATGCTAGCATTCAGTCAGTTTAACCGGCACAGAGAAATTGTGCCTAACGCTTCTGCTCTAAAGGGAGAAGACACGAAATGAAACATCCTCAAGAATCCACATTCTGCTGGGGAAGACAGCCTGTACTTTCATAAAGCAATGAAATGCCCAATACAAATGGGAATCTAGTCCCCTGCTGAGGAGACTCTTGGGGGGGAACCTGTTATAACTTTTGTGCACGAGTAAGATACAGTCCTTAACTTTACCCAGAATGCAGCAAAATTAAGCTGGAACAATCATGCACATACTGCACTTCAGAGAGATTTTCAACACCCTGGGCTAACGCTACCAGGAAAAGAGTAAGGCTTCATCTGTTCTGAAAAACTGTTAGTTGCCTTTTGAAAAGGAGAGTAGAGCATTTACTTTATCACTGAATTGGCAGAAATTATTAACTCTGAGCCAACTGCTATAGAACTTCAAATAGGTACTCCAGAGATTAAAACTTAGAGCAAAGAAACAACTTTCCTCTTAAAAACTCCTTTGTCAAGGAGATGGTCGGTATACATTACGTCGTCACTTTCCTAACTTTGTAGATTTTAGGTCAGCTGCCTGACACTGATTTTTCAAGCAATAGCTAAGTTTGTTAACCATAATTGCATGCCCATAAAGGTAAGCATTACATGACACAATTCTCTGTCGCTTCTCTCAGAAGAGGTTTAATTTTAGTGTTGGTTTTTCAACACTGTCCCCATTTTTTTTTCCACGAGCATCTTAAATATGTGTCAACTAACTATCCAGTAGTGGAGTTCATGACTGGACAAGACGAAGAGAGAGTTGTGAGCCAGTAATGCCTGTGCTGGAGCCATCCCGCTCTCACCTGAGCCCAGATGCACCCGAGAGAAACTACAGATGCACACACATGCTGAGCTGTCATGCCACCTCCACTGGCAACCTTGTCCACCGAAGCTCTGAGTTTCTAGGCAGTGTTCGCCCAAAGCCATGCTCCTGTCAAATGGCTCTTTACAATACTCAAGGACAGTCACTGACAATGGCAGCATTTAAAAAAGGCACTTTCCTTATCATTCAAAGAGACAATTTCCCAATTCAATCCACCACACATTAGAAGGATTCTACCCACATCCATTACTGAAGTCCCCCCAAATTAGCCATATGAAATGTGAATTCCAGGCCATGTGACCTAACTATGGGTCTATGTAACATTTCTGCACACGCTAAGATACTGGAAACTAAGGTTTGTTCCCTCCTCCTCTCTATTCTAGACCAAGGAACCCTTTAGATTAGATTAATTTAAAACCCCTGAAGGCAGTACCCCACCTAATCTATAGCACCCTGACTGCCTGTCAAAGTGCCTCTTGATCCTAAAGCTTTCCTAGGTGGCATTAAGGATCAGTGCTAATATCTCAGCAACTTCTCAGATTCTTCTGAAGGTAAGTGAATGTGTGGAATTCAAGAAATTACACCCTGGCTCCACAAAAGATGCAAAAGTCACTAAGGCTATTTTTTCATGTCACTTCTTTTATCCCCTAATATTTCAGTCTTAGAATTGCAGTGGCACCATTTACTGCAAAAAGGACATTCTAGAAGGTTTTATATAGCCTGTGGCCACTCCACCCTTCAAATCACAACAAAAATGTATATAATGTTTGTTAAAGACAATTACCATCAAGTCAATTTTAACGGGAACGGAAGACCAGAGGTAAGATGATTACATATATTAAAGCAATCAGAGCCCTAAAATGATCACAACCCCTCAATCTCTACCAACATTGTACAAACCAATGTGAATTATCCAAAAATATCAGAGTTAAGCACATAAGAGTAATTAGCCAAGCTCACTTTAAAGAAAAGCAAAAGCTCCTACTGTGAGAGAAACCTGAGTTACCTGGCCAAGCCCAAGATGACTTTTTCTTCCATCCACAGCATATTAAAAAGTGGTATCAATGGCCACTTCCTGGTCTCCCTGCAAATACTGGGCTCACTTCATACCTGGATGCCGCTATACTTTCCTATTGCCCTGTTCCTACCACAGGGAAAAATGACCCCTATTGCCAACAAATCCTTGGAGAAAATGTGCGAAAGGATCAGTCTTCCCCTACACACATACACAAACATACACCCGGAGGGGGAGGGGGAGGGGGAGGGGGAGGGGAGATTCCCTCTGCAAACAGTAGCCTCAGCAAAGGGGCACCTCAGAAAGCGACACCCTGGAGTTAACCCTGACAGCCTAAGTCACAAACCACCAGGCTGAGACCCCCAGGCCAGGAAAAGGGACAACCAAAACAGGGCTCTTGGGTGAACAAGAGAGAAAACAATCACCTCTAATTCGCTACCCAAAAAATGGGGCTATGGCTCGGTCAGAGGCACTTAGGCCCAGAAAGGCAACAGGAAGGATCCCACCCTCCCCAAGATCATCCTTCGTCGACAGCAACCCCAAGAGGGATTGGGCACAGTCATGTCCAGTCGCAGAACGGAGGGGCACTCTCCACGTACCCTGGGCACGCAGCTAGGGGGTCAAAACAGGCTGAGGGTTCTCTCGGAAGCCAGGAAGGTGCTTCCAGCCAGAAGAAGAGGGAAGGAGGGCTTCCCTGATCACCCAGAAGACCGACACACGGGAGACACAGGTTCCCCGAGTCATACCCTGGACACCAGTTGCTTCACAGCCTTTCTCCCTCCCCTCCCCCCGCCGGGAGGGCTTCCCCGGGGGTCTCGGTTCCCGGGAGGGCGGGCGAGGCAGGTAAGCTCCGTTCAGAGCAGCGAGGGTCTTAGAGCTGGAGCAGAAGGGCGTGAAAGGCTCTGGCATAAGCTCCTGTCTACTCCCTCCACCCAGGCCGCACGGAAGCCTCGGCCTCACGTACGGAGCGCTGCCGGGCTGCCCGACCTGACCTCGGCTCGGGACCAGGGGGCGAGAGGCAGAGATGGCAGCGGCCCTCGGGGAGAGGTGGGCGCCAGAGGGGTCCCCCAAAGCCCTGCTGAGGAGGGGCACGGGGGAGGGGGAGGGTCCCGGGCCCACGCGGCCTCCGTCCCGTCTCGCGCGGCGGATACCTACGTTACTCTGGGGGTCGATGGCCTGCAGCAGCCGGTCCCTGATCTGCTGCGGAGACGCCGGAGCCGCTGTCATTGCCTGGGCGAGGCGGGGGGGAGCGGCCGGGCCAGCGGGCGGGCGGGCTGAGGCGGGGGACGGGGGTCACTCACTCGCCGGCCTCCGGGAGCGGAGCCGCATGTTCCCCGCGGCGCCGGGGGAACTGAGGGCGCGCGGGGTGGCGGAGAGGGGGAGCCGGGGCCGGGTCTCGGGCCCGGGCCGCCGCCGCCACCGAAGGAGGAGGAGGAGCCGCCGGAGCCGCAGCCACCGCTGCCGCCGCCTCGAGAACCAAACTCCAGTGAGCTGCCCCCGCGCGGAGCACCCTGGGTAACCCGCGCCGCACGCAGCGTCGCCGCCACGCTGAGGAGGTTGGGAGATGGGGCGGGCGAAGACGCCAGGCCTGGGCGGGGCTGCACGCGTGCCACGCCCCGCGCCTCTGCGCCTGCGCGCGCAGGCGCACTCGTCCCGTCGCGCCGTCGGGTTCCCCCGCCCGGCCGGGGGAACCGTTGGGAGGCGGTTGGGCGGGGCAACGGCCGCTGCCTGGAGACCCCGCCCCCGCCTGGGCCGGGGGGCGGGGCCTTCCGACCGAAACGCTCGCGCGCGCGCGCGCGCGCGGAATCCTCGAACCCGGGCGCCCGCAGCGGCCGCGGGGGTGGGAGAGTCTCTCCTCGCGGGGTGGGGCCTGCCCCGCGCGTGACGGCGGAGCCGCCAGGGCCCTCGCTGGGGGCGGGAGAGCCAGACGTCCACGTTGCGAGTCCGCGCGCGCAGGGGCCGGGGGAGGAGCTCGGGGCGCAGCCCCCGCCCCTGCGCAGGGTGCGGGCGCGCGGCGGGGGTCCGCGGGGACACGGCCGCCGCCCCCGCCGGGAAGGCCGGAGGGCCCGAGGCTGCGGGCCGGGGTCGGCGCCGCGGCTTCCCGACCTGGGCACCTGGGCCTAGCCGGCGTCTCCGGGGCACGACCGCGCATCGCGGGGTGGCGACGTTGCAAACCGAGACCCTCGTTCTCCGAACCGGGCGTGCTCACAGCGGCGGAAACCGAGCCCCGAGGTCACCCAGAGTTCAAGGTCAAGCCCAGAACTGCCCGTGCCGAGTGGAAGGGCTCCCTCCGCCCCCACCTTACTTACTGCCGGGTAATTGCTGTCTCCCTGCTCCCTGGGAGCTCTGTTGGAAATGCTGCCATGAGAAGGGGCGGAAAGGCAGGCCCACTGGCTTATTAGCAGCGGCCTCGGGAGAAATAACTTTTTTTTTATTTGTTGTTACAGGAAGACCTAGATTTAAAACAGGAGGAAGACGGGTGATGAGAACCACATGTGCGCCTTGGAGCTGGGCGACACCTGTTAGTCTTAACATTTGTCGCGCTTCTGGGAAGCGTTTTTATTTGCAGAAACGGCTGCTGCTTCTGCACGCGGCTGTGGTTGCTTGCTGCTGCACACGTGAAAAGTTTTCATCGCACTTGCAGGAGAAAATAAACATTGGCAAAATACTTCTGATTTACTCACTGTCTCTCCTAGAATGTGGTGCTTTGTGTACATGGTCCAAGTTGGAAACTGGCCCATGCGGAGATAATTTTTATCTCACTTCAGATAAGCAAAACAAACAAGCCCTTCCCCAGGTATATTCTGTTTCTACCGCTCAAACTCTAACTCAGCTGTACAATTTTTTTAAGATCAAGGATTACATAGAAATAGGCAATTTATTTTGCACAGATCAAGTTATTTTAAGAAAAATTTGGAAAGTACTCAACTTACCTGGTTTTTTTTTTAAATTAAGAAGCATTAGCGTGACTGAGTTCCCCAAGGGCACTGGCTGGTTTCAGTTTCCCCAGTAGATACAAAAGTACTTATTAATATTTATGGAATGAGTGAGTGAATGTTTCATCAAACACTTCTTAGATGTATACACACACCCAGACATATGTATGCATTTAAGTTTCCACAGATCTGGTATACTGTGGGCCTCAACATATAGTTCTTGAATGAATGAAATATAAAATGTAACAAATGCTGTATACACAGGTGGATACACACATACATAGATACATATATAGTTTTATTCCACATTTACTGTATATAAAAGGGAGCTTGTAAGGATAAAGGTCAAATCAGATAGCCTCCGAACAGTAGTCTGGAAATGTTGGCAGCTTCTCTTAGGTCCAGGGTAGATACTGCAGTTCACCTAGAAGACCTTCTACTTTGAGAAGAAGATACTTGAAATGGTTCCTGTCAAGTTAAGCAAAGGTGGGCTGTGAGGCAAATTCTCTTGTATTAGGTACAGACAGCAACAGCCCCACTGTCCTGAAAGGACAAGATCTCTTCTGCTTGGGATGCCCTTGCTAAAGCAGCCTCAATTCTTAGACTGGGGCTCCCAGGGAGAAAGGGAGAGGAAGAGGCTCTGAGTCCATGACTTGCCAGGGAAGTTAGTTTCAGGAAGCCAAGTGGAGAGCATCTTCAGCCAAGCTTGACAGTGAAGGAGTGGGATCTTGACTAAATGCTGTGGCCCAAGCAGGAACGTGGATATGCAAGAGCCTTTTAGAGGAAGCTGTGAGCAGGCTGGTTAACACAACTGTACGGGATCTGTCTTCAACAGCGACACCACATGGTGGCAAGGAGCAACAGCAGGAACACTCTCACCAGACTTAGTTCAGAAGCCAGCCCCTGGGATACAGGCCATTTAAAGGAGACAAAGTTACTGAACCTACCTACCCTAATAAGGGATGTGGGGGCTCCAATGATTAGTTAAAAAAAAAAAAAATGCAACAGAATCAGCTACCACACCCTGATCGTTATGTTTGCTCTGAGTTTAACAGTTTGGTGGACATTTTTTAAAAAACCCTTTCTCATATATTAACTCGTTCAACCATATTAATAATCTCAAAAGTACCTAGAGATGGATTTCAGAGTTCAGCTTGGCGTTGCAGTAAGTGAAACCAATTTTAATTGGTTTTGACTAGCCCTGAAACATAAGCTGCTCTTTTAGGAAGAGATTCAAAGGCAAGAGAACTCAATTTTTATCATGTCTTCAAGTAGGGGGATACAAAAAGATGCACAAAGCCTGCTCCTGCACTTCAACTGAGACTATCTCAATACCTTCATACCTTCTGATCCAGTGTTTCGTAACATCTAGAAATGTATCCGAAGGAAGTAATCGGATGCGGATAAATGTGCATGTACGAGGAAGTTCACTGCAGCATTGTTTGTAAGAGCAAAAGATTGGAAGCAACCTAAATTCCCTGTAATAGAGGCGTATGTCAATGCTCCATGATGGGGAGGTTTTGGACTGCAGGGGGCCACAGGGAGCCTGCTGGGTTCTACAACGTTCTGTACTTCAGCCTGAGTGGTGGTCCCACTGGTGTATGTACATGGAGAAATTCACCAAGCTGTACACTGCTGTAAATTAAACCTCAAAAGTAAATAAATAAAACATGTATATGTGTGTGTATCAGGTAGCCATTAAAAACCAGTATTAAATAACATGGAGAAATGCTCCCAATAAATGATAAAATGCAGCATATAAACTATATACATTATGATCTTAATTTTAGTTTTATTAAAATATACATATTTACACATATGATGCATAGAAAAAATACTGAACAGAAAGAAACCAAAATATTTACAGTAGTTATCTCTGATGCATAGAATGTCAGGTGGAGTTTACTGTCTTATACTTTTTCCTAGAATAGCTCCACATTTCCTAGAATTAATATGTATTATCTCCTAGTCATCCTGTCAAGCGCAGGGGTTGTTCTGATCCCTGGGAGCCTCCACAGCTCGCACCATCTGACTCTGGTGCGGCTAATCTAAAGCCAGTGCTGTAATCTCTGAAATCCTGATGATGGATTTTCTATCAGGCTAATAGATACAGCTCTAAATCTCAGGAGTTCGTGTTTTCCTTACTGCCCCAGTTTTGTGTCATTATTCTTAGCAATTAAGGGAGTAACAATGGGAGTAATATTTGCTGAGTACCTACTAAGCAAGTGTCAGGGCCCGTGTTGAGGACTTCACATGAGGACCCCATAAACCCCCTTTATGGGGTTTCAGATCCTTGTGTCATCCCTCCTTTGATGTTGGGCTGGGCCTGCAACTCACTTTGGCCAAAAGAATGCAGTGGAAGCCACACTCTGCCCAGTCCAGGCTAAGGCTTTAAGAAGGCCTGGTAGTTACCACACGGCCCGGCAATGCCACTCCTAGGGACCTCCCCAAGAAAACTGACAACACGCAGTCACACGAAGACTCGTACATGTAAACGCCCACAGCAGCATTACTCACCATAGCCACAAAGTGCGAACACCCCAAATGCCCATCAGCTGGCAAGCGGATGAAATGTGGCATATCCATACAATGCGACGGTACTCAGCCGTAAAAAAATGAGGCACTGACACCTGCTACGTCATGGATGAACCCTGGAAACACGATGTTCAGTGCAAGAAACCAGACACCGAAGGCCACACAGTGTGACTCCACTGATATGAAATGTCCAGAACAGGGGAATCCACAGGGATAGAAAGGAGATTAGTGGCTGCCAGGGGTTGGGGGAGGGGGAATGGGGAGTGACTGCTAATGGGGACGGGGTTTCCCTTGGGGGTGACAAAAATGTTCTAGAATTAGATTGTGGAGACGGTTTCACAACTCTGTAAATACACCAAACCCAAGTGAATTATATATTTTACATAGGTGAACTATATGTGAATTCTGTAACTCAATAAAGCTGTTAAAATACATTAAAAAAAAAAAAAAAAAAAGAGGAAGAGGCTGGCTGACAGCTTCTGCCCTTGTAGTCCTGGGAGCACTGAGCTGCCTTATCGGAACCTGGTGACTGTGGTGCTGGAGGGCTGCGAGGCAGAGGGGAGAGGCCCTGGGAGGAGAGCGAGGAGCCCAGCGACAGCTAGGACAGAGCCTTGCTTGCTGGTCCAACCTGGCTGAAGTGCCAGACGTGAGTGGAGAGGCCCCCTTGCATTCCAGCCCCAGTGGACACCTCGCGGATCAGAGATATCCCTGCTGAGTCCGGCCCACAGAGCTGTGACTACATGATAGTTGTTTTAAAGCCACTAGGTATCGGAGTAATTTGTTCTGCTCTACTAGGTGACCGAGACACAGCTACTGTTAGAACCCTCAGGGGACATGTGCGGAAGGGCCTGAAGCTGAAGAGTCAGGAGACTCAGCCCAGGTCACTTAGCTCCCAAATGGTGCAGCTGGGATTCCAAAGTGCTCTCCCGTCTTCACCCTACTTAAGCCCTGCACCCCTCCTGGAGGGTGTTTGCCTTTGTTTTTATTTATTTAATTAAAATTTTTTTTTTTTGGCCGGGCGCTGTGGCTCACGCCTGTAATCCTAGCTCTTGGGAGGCCGAGGCGGGCGGATTGCTCAAGGTCAGGAGTTCAAAACCAGCCTGAGCAAGAGCGAGACCCCGTCTCTACTATAAATAGAAAGAAATTAATTGGCCAACTGATATATATATAAAAAATTAGCCGGGCATGGTGGCACATGCCTGTAGTCCCAGCTACTCGGGAGGCTGAGGCAGGAGGATCGCTTGAGCCCAGGAGATTGAGGTTGCTGTGAGCGAGGCTAACGCCACGGCACTCACTCTAGCCTGGATAACAAAGCGAGACTCTGTCTCAAAAAAAAAAAAAATATTTTTTTTTGAGAGAGAGAGAAGGGGTCTTGCTATATTGCTCAGGCTGGTCTCAAACTCCAAGGCTCGAGTGATCCTCTTGCATTTCCCTCCCAAGGGGCTGGGACCACACGTGCGAGCCACCACGCCCAGCTGGTGTTTGCCTTCAGCCAGGAGTCTCGTAGGTTCCCCTCTCTCCTTCCCTGACCTGTTCCCTGCCCAAACCTTGCCTGACTGTCCCGCCTGCCACCTGCAGCAGCCACGCTTCCAGGCAGCTCTTTCTGACATGGGGTTCGGATCATTCTGCTCCCCAGCTCCAAAAACTCAGCGGTCTTCTACTTCCTCTTGCCTAAACCCTTGGCCTTGCGAGGTCTCCTTGTCACGTGCCAGGAGTCCAGCACACACACCCACCCCCCCCCCACACCCCCGACAAGTGCCCCTATGCACAGGTCACCCGGGTTCCTGGCCAGCCTCCTTCCTCACAACCCTAAGTGGGTTTCCTCCTCTACACCTGTCCCACTGGGGCACCTAACCATCCAACCAGGTGACATGGTCCTTGCTCCTTAGGGAGTGACCTGGCCAAAGTCATGTGGCTGGATGTGGGGCAGGACGATGAGTCTGGCTTAGAGCTCAGGGTACCCAGACTTTGAACCAAATCAGGGACAGGCCATCTCCCCAAAAAGCAGACAGGAGAGAAGGAGCACGGAGCTGATGTCGAAAACCAACAGGAAGGCAGGGAGGAAGGTCGGAGCACACAGAAGCGACAACAGGAGACCCCACACCGGCCAGCGGAACGTCCCACAAACAAAGGCGAGGGGTTGTACCCCAACACAGAAGGCCACGCTGAGAGAGGGAGTATGATGTGGTATGCTCCAAAGAGTACCTCCACCAAACACGCTGCAGGCTACACAGAGAAAGGAGGGAATGGCAAGTCCCGGCCAGTACAAGTTAAGCATCCCAAATCCGAAAATCCCAAATCACAATGCCCCGAAATCGGAAACTTTTTGAGTGCCGACATGATGCTCGAAGGAAACGTTTGATGGAGCACTTCAGGTCTCAGGATATGGGATGCTCACTGCGTAAAATATAATGCAAACACTCCAAAATCCAAAAAAGTCTGAAATCTGAAACACTGGTCCTGTGTATTTGAGACTCAACCTGTACCTGGATCCATGCTGCCTTGTCACAGAGGAAGAAACTGATGTCCAAAAAGGAGGAACGAAGTCCCCCAAACCGCCTGGCCAGCCAGACACCACGAGGGGTTTCGCCGTACGTGGTCACAACCCCCCGTCTGCAATTCCAAACTCCACAAAGCTCTCAGAGCTCCACAGTCTCTGTCTTACGTCTGTGGCAGACTCGACTGGTAGCAGTGCTTGTCCTGAGGCTGGCTGTAGTCTTCGCTTGTCCACAAATATTTATGATTTGCCCCTGTGTTGGGCAGAGTAATTGCTCCTGCCCTCCTAAGATGTCTCCACCCTCATCCCCGGAACTTGTGAATGTGTCACGGCAAGGAGAGTTCAGGCTGCAGATGGAATGCAGTTGCTGATCAATGGACTTTAAGGCAGCAGATTGTCCTGGTGGCCCTAATGCAATCACAAGGGTTCTTAAATGGGGAAGAAAGAGGTAGAAGGGTCAGAATTAGAGAGAGGACCTCATGAAAAAGGCTCTAGGGGCCACTGCTGGCTTGGAAGACGGAGAAAGGCTGTGAACTAAGGATCGGGCAGTGTCTAGAAGCTGCAAATGCAAGGAAACAGATTCTCCCCTGGAGCCTCCAGAAAGAAGTGGCTCTGCCAACACCTTGACGTTAGCCCAGGGACATCCACTTTGGACCTCTGCCCTCTAGGACTGCGAGAGTCAACCTGTGTTGTCTGAAGCCACGAATGTCGTTATCATTTGTTACAGCAGTGGGAAGAGAGAGTTACAGAGCCTTTAAAGAAAAAGCTGACCACCCTCTCCTTTAGATGCGGTGCTGCCTAATCAGAACTTTCTGCAATGAAATGCAGTTGCTGTGACTGAGCAGTTGGATTTTCGAGCTTTAGTTAACCAAGGCAGAGACTGAAATAGGCACATGTGGCTAGTAGCTACTGGGCTGGTCAGCACAGGCCCCTGCTACTCAAAGTGTGGTCCAGGGACCAGCATATTGG